TGGTTTGCTTGCGTTCTACCTGTGAGGTTCTTGGTTCGATAGATTCGCACTGCTGATGAGCCCCAAACAGGTGGAAACAGCTGATCAGTGCTTCCCAGCTTTTCAGCTCAAGCCTTATTAATACGACGAATTCATCATATATACATCCAAATCCTTAGTCAGCGAGTGTTTCAATGAGTTTTACTGCTCTCTCCCTACTCATTTCTTCATGTACATTTGCGATATTCCTTTTGCTTCTCCAGTACATGTTTTGAGATATTCAGATGATGTTTTGTTGTGCGAACTCATTTATTCTTTCACCGACCTAAATTCCCTCATCGATAGTCTTTCTCGAACTCAGCTTTTATCCTTCCAATCGGGTAAAGTTTAGATGCAAGAAACTGCGTTAAATTTTCCTACAAAATTGGACTCCAATCGTTTCCTATAGACAGGACAGTAAAAAAATAACAATCTTTTAACTGGATTTGGCTTTATCAAATACCTTATAGTCACTATAGACAACAACAAATTGCATCTAACTGCGTTAGTAAACGACGGAGTCTACAATATCCAACTGGAAAGCTCCAACAGCTTTGTACTTCACGAGCAGTTAGTACCACTTTTGTATATCAGTGTTTTTTCTACCATACTGTTACTCAGCGGTTATTATCTCCAGTTTGCTGAAAACAAGATTACAAAGTCTGACGCCACAGTCTAACCATTATAAATGGTCAAAATTCTTCAATTTCTGGGAGCGACATCAGTGCGCAACGTTTTGATCATCACATTTCCTCGTGTGCTAACTTACTGGAAAGGATTCCAACAAATCTTGACCAGCCTATGCACTTTGAAGTAACACGCGGTTACTCCCATCCATCTATAAGCACTGACTTCCGGTACACTGTCCCGTTGACGAAATCCCCTTTACCCTACCACACTGCATGTGTAACCATCAATACAGAGAAGATATCAAGGAAATTCTGTCTTAATCTTGAACTAGTAAATTTGAGTTCTGAGAAGCAAGGATTTGGACATACCACAAAAACCCATCACCTCGGCTAAATTTTGGGTCCGAAAAAAGAAGATACATCTTTTGCGGCCAAACGGGTAGAAACAAAATGTTCACGTGACTTCACCGGGATAAAATTCACAAGCGGATAAGTAAAGGATGAGCCTACACTGAAGTGTGTCGCGCTCTCAAAAAGCAGCAGATTAAAGACTATCACCAAAGTTCACACCCAGTTGTAGTCATTTCTATGGAAAAATGATGCTCTTTAAAATGCTGTGGTAGTATTCGCGAAAGTATTTGGAATCCGACAACAGGTAGAACCAAGACGAACCATAGATAGAGTTGATTCTATTTCGAAGAGCATGCAAATCAAAATGGTCAATCGGTATTGATATGATCCACGTGTTATCTTTCGAATATTCAACTAATCCAATCGCATGCACGTGGGCTGACAAGATTGGTCAGAATGTCAGTATTCTGAGTGGCTGTCTGGCGGTGCGTGCGTATTACTGTCCCATCTCGTTGCTCGATCTACGCGGTTATACTTCTTACAGGTACTTGTTTTCAAAAAATGGTCCCACATTTCATCCAACTGAAATTTAGGCGTTATAATTACAACTCATTTGCACATTTTGCGATTACCATTGGTCCATAAAAGTCGCGTTTCGTTGGACACTGCTGTATTCATTCGTATTGCTTACCTACCGTCCGGTTCGGGCTTTGAATTCCGGACCCATTAAATGGAAGATGTGTATGGTGCCAACCAGTTCACGCCGAGGATGACCACAATTACCACCAATGTTTGTTTGTTTCGATTTCTTCTCCGACAGCGACGAAAGGAAACACTCCATTCGAAAGCCTCCCATCAAATCAGGACTTCTGTGCAGGATACAATTCAATCCACCTTCAATTCAAAGTTACTTGTGAGTAGTGTGGTGTCAGTTAGTGAAGCCGCCCAAAGAGCATATGATACAATTATAGTTTTCATTCACCCACCCACCCATACATACAAGGACTGAGCGGAGACAAGTTAGGGAAAGAAATATTGTATTGTCATGGTTTTGACTGGGATATACTAATCCAGAAGGATACATGCAAACTTGGGTTGCGAAATATGGAAATAGAAAATTGGGATTCAGAATGTAATATTTGGTAATTTCAAAACAGCTAATCCCCCCCCAGCGGAAACATATAAACCCATGAATATATCTGATTTGATTAAACCCTCAAAGTGGTTAACGGGTCAGTTAGGCCGTGATCTGTGGATTATTCCGAGTTCAAAAGTCCAAGGTTCGAAATCAGTCACCACGAGGCAAGTTCAGCGGTAGACAGCTTTGTTCAAACCATAATTATCGGATTTGATCTTCGTATAGTTAGTCCCCTTTAGGTCTCAGGTTTGGTTGATCTAGACTGGTCCCCCTTCACACTTCCTCTTCATGCATAATACGCAACAGTTGATCCAGCCAACCAAACGCTTTCATTGAGCTTCGATCTTGTCAGTAATGCGTATATCCATGTTTTCATTCAGGATTTGAACTCCGTGCCCCTCAAATGGAAAGTGTATGTGGGTTACCAAATTCCATAACTGAAGAATAGGTTTTCTTGAGGATGGAATGAAACCTCTTCCAACGATCAGCACATTTTGATCGGCAACCCAAAAACGATTTACAACCACAAGAACGATAACGCGCCAGGCGTGTTTTTTCGAAACAAATATTTACTTTCGATTACAAATTGTTGTTACATTTTATACTATGAACTAACAAGGATCCAAACATCTGCGATCATGTAATTCGCGATGCCGTTGTTTCCCACACAACGATTTTCTGTCCCAAGAGTATTTTCACGAAATAAATTTGGAATCCAATACCAGGGACCTATGATTCGTTGCTTCTCATGAACTGCAAGGGCGACATGGTTCGAGAACAGTCCATCCTCATGTAGTTCACAACTCCAAGTGCTGTGGGGTTTAGGTTACCGGTTTTCATCACTGAATAGCAGGTCATCGTGACTACGGGGTCCATCTCATCTTCTGTTTATCATGCAAGTGTGTGTAATATTTAAAAAAAATGATCGCCGGGTGCATTATGCAGTAGGATGTACTGAGACCACTTGGACGGGTACTGCTATGGTGTTCAGCCACTAAGCAGAACGATTAGGGTTATCAATCAAATCCGTTGGTTCTGACAAGAAACTAAGAGCAAGGCAGTGGGTGAAGCGAATTGAAGGCCCATTCACTTGGATCGATTATTCCTCCAGTACGTGTTACCAACTGAAGCCAAACCCCCAACCTGGAGACTGGAATTTATCTGAACTCTACCCTCTGAGCTTTCAGGCGTGATAAGATCTTCTGAGGTCATAGAACTCACTCTGTATAGCCCACTGGGTGACATAGGTGCACAAGTCATCCAAAAACACCCAGGTGCAGTCTCCTTGTGATGAGAAAATGGGGATAAGACTCAGAACCTTCCAGATTATCAATCCATCAGACAATTTGGGTACAGGTTTTCAGACAATGGTCGGACTTCACCCGCATTCTGTGCACTGCATTTTTAAGATACTGTTTTATTTGTATTCGACCTTCGAATGATTATGCAGATTGGAGAACCTGTATGTTTGAACATTAAAGTGGTATGTTTTTAAGAGAACGTGAAAATTTTCCCCTGTGCTCCAACTAATCCGAGTAGGAAAGTTTAGTATGCAACGTGCATTCTGGGCTATTAGGTTATGTAACTGGTTCCAGACATCAGACGTCCGTGCTGTGTTGGAGGTTTGACAAGAGTGTGTTTGGTCTCCACTCGACCGCGAGTGCTTGAGTACAGCCGGTGACTACTAAAAGACAGAAAAACCAGCAGGTCCCAGGAACTGTCACAAGGAAGCTTTGTGATAGAAAAAGTAAGTACTGCATTAAATTAGTATTAGATGAAAACGTAAAGTTGATGTGATTGGCCGAAAGATTCATAAACAATTCAGCGGAAGGCGTTAGCATATTTACAAATAGAAAGTTCTCAAAAGTCAAAAAAGAAACAGACGACTAGACGCGTTTCAGTCATAGTGAGGGGGTGAGGGTGGAGTGAAAAGGGGGCAGAGTTGGAAAGGAAAGAGTATGATCGTTAAAAGCAATATAATGGTGTTCAAAAAAGAATGATGTACCTGGTACGGCTCAACGCGACTCGGGTACGGGGTTCAACTGCCCACTAGAACGTTGATGTGCCATCTGTTGACGAAGGCTGCGTTGAACTTCGGCTTCTAGCAAATCCATACACTTTTCCGCATTGGTCAGTTGGCTATCTAATTTGGACAGCTTTAGACGGCATGAAGAATCAAATCGATTGAGGAATTCCACTATACTTTTCATACTGGTATTTATAACCTCGATGTTCTCTCGGTTCGACCAATCATCACGAATTTCCTTGGTTGACTGAGGGTCCAAGGCCATGCTGATGCTAAAAGAAAACAGAGAGAAGGTAGTGACTAGGATCATGAAAGAGATGTGTACAACAAAAAGAACACAGCTTTGCAGTAAAAAAAAACGGAGACTCCATGTATACATTGAAAATTGGAAGATCGAATATACCGCGCTACTATGCAGTTGATTCTGCCTAAACGTTATGGGACCCTGAGTTTATTTGTAAAAAAACGTTATTCGATCGTTGGTGTTTGCATAGTTTGGCGCAGGCAGAACGCCTCAGGAAAAGATACGGCTCACTAGCCCTATCACATTAGCCCCTTGAACTAATCAGATCACCATCATATAACACTATCTTTCAGCAACAAAGCTAGCCATGTCGTGCTCTCACGGCGTATGCAGTACTGTTTGTCTCTCAAAAATCCTGAAAAGGCAAGCAACTCTTGGACCTGNACGGGAAACCCTTGTGGTCCCTTGTCCAGTCTGCAAATACTTTAAAAGAATTAGAGCAGAAAAATGTCTTATTTCGCAGGTTACCTTTCTCTTTCTTCACTGCACCAAATGATCGTCTTGGGGCACCTATGCATGGACATAGGCGAAATACGTCTTAAATTTGTCTTTCGCTTTATGTGAAATCTTATTTCTGTATATCCTGCAATACGCGTCCTGCAATCTCACATCTACTTTTATTCCGGGTAAGCCTATATTGCATGTACCAAAGTATCTATAATTTGACACACGCGAACTAAGACAACTGCCTTTTAGTTTGCTCTTATGAAAAGACTAGTGCATCGATTACCTTCAACATCAACTTGGCAAAAACTGCCAGTTGATGCTAGTCTCCCATTTGAAATGGAGGCTTCCCGGGAAAGAAGCTATCTCAGAAGGTGTGAGGCTTCCAGCCCCGACGGGCTGTCCCCATCGGCTTTCAAGGATGGAGGTTCAGCCTTAGTTTCAGAGTTGACGAAACTCCTAAGCTCAGTGTGGGAGAGGGAAGAGGTTCCAAAGGAATGGTGTGAATTGGTAATCATACCGATCTACTAGAAAGGCGACACGTCTACTTGTAAAAACCACAGAGGAATTAGTTTAATCAACACTACCTCTAAACTTCTCGCTGGCACTGTACTCAGTCGGTTGTCTGCCGCACGTGAACGGTGTACGCGTGAGAACCAGGCTGATTTTAGACCCGATCGAGGTTGTATCGACCACATTTTCACTCTTCGTCAAATCCTAGAACACAAACACTTCTTTCGTAGACCCACCATCTCTGTTTTTCTCGATTTGGAAGCGGCTTTTCACTCAGTCGACCGCTTTAAATTCGGGCGATGCCTTTCCCTGAAGCGTATGCCAGAGAATTTAATTTTAATATTAGGATCACTTTATACTAATCTTCGAAGCCGAGTCCGAGCTTACGGCACTTTTTCGCCCGAGTTCACCACGGAAAGTGGTGTTTGTCAGGGTTGCCGTCTCTCCTTTTCTATTCAACTTTGTTATAGATTTGATCATGGAAACAGCTCTATCCTCGTGCGAGGAAAGTGGCATCGATTTAGTCTCAGGTGACAGACTGTTTGATCTAGAGTATGCAGACGACATTGTGCTACTAAGTGAAGATGCAGGCAAGTTGCGAGCTTTTTTGGACAGCTTGAATGTCAGTGTAGCTATGTTCGGTATGCGTTTTGCACCTTCAAAGTGTAAAATGTTACTACGAGACTGGGTCGGTCCAGCACCCAGCCTCACTCTTACTGCAGAAGTAATAGAGAAAGTGGATAAGTTTTGTTGTTTAGGCAGCTACATCTCACCCGGTGGATGCATCACGGATGAAGTGTCTGCTCACATACAGAAGGCTCGGTTGGCATTTTCCAACTTGAGACATCTGTGGCGCCGTCGTGACATCCGGTTGTCTGTGAAGGGTCAAATGTATGCCGCGGCAGTTCGGTCAGTTCTGCTATATGGCGCAGAAACGTGTCTATTAAGAAATCAGGATAAAGATAGACTGTCGGTATTTGAACACCACTGTCTACACAGCATTGCACGAATCTGGTGGGGCAGCCGAACGAGCAATGCTGAGGTTAGGCGCAGAGTTTTGGGTATCCTCCGTCACCCACTGGAGCAAGTGGTCGACCTCCATAGATGTGTTATGCATGTCACCACATAGGTTGCTACGGTGAGCAATGTTCTCCGAGGCAAGTAGTGGGTGGAAGAAAGTCAAGGGTGGCCAAGATAACACTAGACAGGAGGGTATGAAAACCCTGACCAGGAGTCTGGGTCACATAGGCCCCGTTAGGCTCCCTGGCTGGGGACCCCGGGATGATCGTAACCGATGGTTAGAGACAATGAGCGATATGGCCGGGTATCTTAAACAGCGGCGTTCATGCATCTCAATTTCTTTGCATTCTTGGACCTCTGAACTTCTCCATTTTGTGTTCTACTCCACCTTCAATTTTCCTGTCTTCTATCATTCATCCAAATGTGCAGCCAAAAGACAGCAACCAAAACCGGCGCACGAAAGTGCTTGTTCAATGGTTGTTCAAACTGAAAACTGAAACATTTTATCAGAGGTGCACAAACCATCACACCAATTCAAGGTGGAATCTCGTCGGAAGAAATTTCGACGCTCGATTGGCCGTGATCACTCAATCATATACAACCTGAATTGATATGGTGCAGCGGAATTTATATGCTAGCGTCAGATTCAAATCCGATTGATGTAATCCGCATTCTAGGTTGGGGCCCTCAAGGGTTAAGGATTGTCGTTGGTTCGAGACGTTTAGATATATTTCCCAGAATATATTCTTCCAGAAAAGATACTACTATTCGATCGTTACTGACGGTTTACCACTACCACTATGTTACGAATTATATATGTAGATAAATATTTCACACACGTCTGATGCCAAACTGTGCCAAACAAATCGTGGTACAATAATCTTTACAAAAAGAAAAACGCTCCACGATTTGCAAATGGGCCGAACACTGCCAGGTTGCCCAGGCCAAGGCAGGTGAATTTTCTTGGGGAATCCACAGCCGGAGCCTTCGGCTAGCTAAAGCCTGACCCGAAAGGCAGCGGGGCGGTGTTAGAACCACAGTCCATTGGGAATCGGTGTCCAATTAATCGGATCACACGCCTTTCGGACTGGGTCAAACGTTCAAGGTGCCCAATACATCTCGATGCGCAATCGAGCCGGTGATCACTGCCACAACCGGAAAGGTGTGGGTGTGGTTCGTACGCCCCCTTTTGGTTGGTTTGGAATCAGGGATTTTAGCCAACTCCCCTAGGTGAACTACCAGTGAACCACCAACCCGGATATCGGCTTTTCGTCCTCTCACTTTGGTGGGAAAACACCTCTGCCACGAGAAAGCAGTGAGTAGGACTTCCTCGGCATAGGCTATTTGCGACGCTTGGTCGTATGGGAGCATTTCGCGAGGCGCAAGGGACGGCTGACCAGCTGCAACCCTAGACACCCACCCCCGACCATACTGAGCATTTCGGAGGCATGCTACGAATTAGTGGTCTAGATAGCATTAACTCGGCGTAATACCGTGCTTTTTTAACTGAATAGCACGAAATCGACTACTACAAATAGCTAAAAAAGACTGATGCCCGTGGTCATTGATATCGCCACCTCACTGTGCAATTTACTAGACTTTACCTCCTTGTATTCTCCTATTGCTAGAACGCCTATAAACCCAGTCAAGTGCTGCATGCTTGAGCACTTATTCGATAATGTTAGATTTTCATTCCAAGAAAGTAATAAAAATAAAACACCCAATAACATTTCGTGATATATATATATATATATATATATTTAAAAACAAAAAAAAGATATGCAAATGTCTCCTCCGGTCATTTTTTCAACGGTATTTATACAAATCGTTTCATTATCCTGTTTGTATCCGGAGCTTTTATACTTATACGCTTATATGCTTCTTCTTATATGCATCTGAAATGAAAATGGATTTCATGTTAAACCGTTTTCATCGTGCATATAGATGACTTTCACAGACATCGAAGTTCTTCACTCACAAAGGATAGCATGTGTTAAAGATTATGACAGGGCTACTCTTCCGTATGTGCGGTTCCAGTTGGGCTGATGGCCTAAGTAAGTCTTGCATACTCGACTAAAACGTAGCCCGAATGCATTCATTCATGGTTTCTCCACTACTTGAGGTCAAATATGTAACCTTAAATAAGATAAACAATCACAATAATTATCCTATATATAAATATTTGCACATGTCTGGGTACCATACAAATTACGGTACAATAATCTTTATAAATAAGGTCCATGGCTTGCCCGAAGACATGATGCTGCTGCGTTGCCAGTGCCAAAGCAGGTGACTTTTTATAGGGAGTTCACAGCCGAAGCCTGACCCGCAAGGCAGCGGGACGGTGTGTGAAAACCGCAATCTATAGGGTCCGGTGTCCGGTCCATCGGATCACGCCCACTGAACAGGGTCAAACGTCCCAAATTCCGAACAAATCTCGATATCCACTCGAGCCAGTGACCACTGCCACAACTAGGAAGGAGTGGGTGGGTGTGTGTACGCCTCCTCTTGGTTGGTTTGAAATTAGAGTTTTTAGATAACTCCCTTAGGTGAACTACCAGTGGTACACCGATCCGGTTGTAGCCCCGCATATTGGCTTTTCTTCTCACTTTGGTGGGAAAACACCTCTGCCACGAGAAGGCAGTGAGTAGCGCTTCCTCAGCAGATGTTTTTGAGGCGCTTGGTCGTATGGGAGCATTTCGTGAGGTGCCAGGGAAGGGTGACCAGCTGCAACCCTAGGCACGTCCCCACTATATTGACGCTTAGTTCTTGGTTGGAAACCTGCCTGTACGACAACGCTATTGAGGCTTTCGGATGCGCAATACATACAAGGCTACTAATAATATGTAAGGTGGAAAAAGTACTGCAGCATACCGTCGATCTTTCACGGACAGCAGGATGTCGTGACGGCGCCACAAATGTCTCAAGTTGGTGAATGCCAATCGAGCCCTCTGTATGCGAGCCGGCACTTCACCCCCGATGGT